AGTAGTATAGATTTAGCCTGGTAAGATTCTGAATATAAGGTTTAAGCAAATAAAGGAACCTAACTCAACTGGACTGTTTCACCGTTGTTCTTGGGCTGGGCCTGACAGTCTGGTGGTTGGAAAAGATGTAATAGAATAAACACTGTGTTTCATTAGGTAATATGGTAGATGATATTGCTAGTCAATACCCTTCCCCAGTCTAAGTTGTCTTTCTGTCCCTCATTCCAGGTATTGTGGACAGAATTGCCTTGCCCCAATTTCCACCTGCTGGTGGCTTGTGGCATTCTGGATGCAGAAAGACAGACTCTTATGAACTCTGGTTTTGGCTTTAACGAGATCCTCAAGGTGAGGGCCGGGCAGATGAACACTTTCTCGTAGAGGATATGTTGGCGTCTGAACTCTGCCCATCTAGCGACACATACCATTCACAGTTTTAATGTACAAGAACAAATATTGAATTATACTAGTAGCTTGCTTCTGAAAATTGAATGGCACATGCTGGAAAGCTAACACGTTTCTTTTGCACGGCTCTTGGATTTTCTGGGGTCTGGCCTTATCCTGCTACCATCGAGGAGTTGGGCACCCTACTGCCCCCTGCTGTTATGTGAAGTTTCTGCTGCTTTGCTTGGTTAAGGAATAATGTATTTATTTCACTGTATCTCACTCCTTTTCCAGGAGTCTCTCCCTTTGGCTTTTGCATCCATAATTCTTACCCGTCTTTTATAGTTGTTCCCCAATCCACTTGGCATATGGCGTTCTCATTTGCAGCAAAGTACCTTTTTCTGTAACGTTTTTCACACTGTCTGCTCCATTTCCTGCCATCTAGTTGAAATTTACATTCACGGTTAGCAGAATCTAAAGAAATCTTCTTTTCGCTTGTGTCTTTCCAAAGCATATTAACGAACTGACCATGAAGATGAGTGTGGAAGACATCTTATGCCGGGCTGAGGCAATCTACAGGCAGTTGGCTTCTACTCCAGTGAGTCTTTGCCAGTGAGGCATAATGCTTCTCTACTTCAGTATTCTTTCTGGGGCCAGTAGGCAGACCGCTCAAACAGAGAACCCTTTGCTTTGTTTTCTGATATCCACAATAAAAAGGACGCATAAAATAATGCTCAACTCAATGTGAACCAACTTTGGTTGGACTAAGAGAATATTCCCCAACCGGATGTCTTATATATTGCTCCCAAATTTCTAGCCAGCGCAGCTTTTAGCTTTCAGCTGGAGCATTTTCTGTGCTTTGAGACTTCTGCTGAGCAAAATGCAGAGCAACCTGGTGGCTTTGGGACTTTATGTTACTGGGAGATTGAAAGGGTTTCTAGGCGGAGTGTCGCCCTCCCAAAAGCACAATAAGTGCTCCATCTGTCATGTGCTGTTATTAACAATAGTGCTGACAAGATCTACAGCAGAGTGTTGCAGGATGGAACATTCCTGTTCAGGGTTGCAGCCTGGGTCAGAATTATATGGACACTGAGCATGCTCAGTCTTCATTAGGCTGCTTGAGTGTTTTTTCTGATTTTTTCCAAGTTCTTGCAAGATGGCTGGTGGTTTGCTTTATGTGCAAGTGGTGCATCTTCATCATCATCATCATCATTATTATATCCTACCTTTATTTAGTACAACTCAAGGTGTTGTACGTAATATTCTCTCTTCCTATTTTCTCCACAACAACAACCCTGTGAGGTGGGTTGGGCTGAGAGAATGAGAGAGAGACTGATATGTAAATGCTATTAATATGCAGGATTTTGCTATTAAGAAGGAATACACACACATACTTGTGCCTTTGAGTCAGTGTTGATTCCTGGCAACTGCCTGGACAAATCCCTGAAATTTTCTTGGCAAGATTTCAGAGGTGGTTTGCCATTGCCTCCTTCCTAGGGCTGAAAGAGAATGACTGGCCCAAAGTCACCCAGCCGGTTTTCATGCCTAAGGCGGGACTAGAACTCACAGTCTCCTGGTTTCTAGCCTGGTGCCTTTAACCATTCCGCCAAATTGGCTCTTGTATCTTGAAGTAAAATATAAATATACACTTTAATCCCTTTTTAGGGCTGTCATATCTAATGGCCATCACATATCTGGGGACCATGAATGGTAGTTTATGTAGTGATGCGTCAGTTCATTATGTCCCTTTAAGCACACAAAAAACCGCCTACTTAACTCTTTTATTGGAGATCCAAGAATTGAAGCCCAGAACTTACACATTTCAAACAGGGGCTTCGCCACAGAAATCATTTGGGTATTTATATGCCACAGAAGCTGTGTGGGACCGAAGCTTACTACACTAGGAGATGTCAGATTGGAACCAGAGCAGGAAAAAGCTACCTATTAAAGTCTTGGGTTTTCTTTCCGCCAGGATCTACCCTGTAATGTCCAGGAACTGCTGGGCCTCTCCGAGGGGAAATCTCCCACCCCCAGCACTGACACAGCCAGCTCCCCACAGCCGCTGTCACCCAGTCAGGTGCAAGAGATGGAGCTGACGGACAGCGTTTCCCCAAGCCAGCCGGACAGCAGCATTGAAATCCTGCCTGCGGAGGATGCCTCCACCTCTCAGAGCCTGTCTCCGTGAAGAACCCTCACGACCACGACCATCTTCTTAACACAAGCACTTTAAGCAGAGCAGGGGGAGGGCTAGGAGGGAGGCAGGTCAGAGGGCCGTCAAAGTTGCGTTCTTCCTAGAATTCAAATAGCTGTGAGAATATCGAGTCTCGATCACAGCCGGTGGGCTTAGCGTGCACAGTGTGCCCTCACCCGTAACGTAAGGCTTCCTTGAAAAGTCCCAGGTCTTGGCCCAAAGTCCATTTTCACTTTTGGTTTGTGCAAAAAGACAGAAAGGAGCAGGTTAATGGCTGTCACCCCATTGGTTTTCTGATTTGGATTCTGGACCTCCTAAATCCTGCTTCCGCTGTCTGTCTTGCGACATTTCTTTCTCCTCCCACCCCCCGGGTTTGCGTGTTGAGAGTCAATCTTATGGCAGCAATCTATTTCTTCTGCTAATTGAAGCCTCTGCTTTGGCTTACAGAAGTTAGTTAGAGATGCCCAAGCTATTTGCTAAGAAGAAATCCAGGAAAGCTAATTAGAACAGTTCTTTGTGGAAAACTGATTGTAGTAGAGAGGTTCTGTCTGGGAGAAACACAGAATCAGAGTTTACAGGAATAGAGGCTAGAAGGCTCAACTCCTAAGTTACTTAGTATTTTGCCAAGGAATTCCTGTTGATGTGCTGCCTTGTGCTTCCTTCCCTCGGCTGGAGGTTCATCTCATGCCCTGCTTGCTGCTTTCTCTTTAAAACGTGATTATGAACTAACCGCAATACGTTGAGGAGGGAAGAATCAGACTTTGTTCTTCGGTGCCTCTCTAGCCCAGCAGGCACATGGATCTGAAGTTTTGTGTGCAGACGCATACTATTCTCCTTCCCACCGAACAGCATCTTCCTTGGCCCTTACCTTGGCTTTTTCCCCCTTTATAAAGTACATTAAAAGTATTGTGTCATTCTTCTGAGTGTGCAGCTCTTTGGAGTGAAAATCACTCAGCCCGAGCTATTTGTATTGGGTGGGCTGAGACCGGACAGAGGAGGGGTGAAAGAGGAGTGCTCAAAAGCCACTTGACTCACCAGAGTGGTGTAGGGCCTTTCCAGAGCACACATGCATTCCTTTTTATCTTTCCTTTGTGTCCTGCACTTTTTAAACCAGTTTGATCATGGATTACCCCAAACAACTCTTGATTGTGAGACTTATAGCCTCTTCTTTTTAATGATTTTAACTGACTCCCTTAACAAATAGACGTTTTTAAAAAACAGAAAGTAGATTTTGTAAATTAACATGCCAGCAATTCAACCAAAACTTTCTATGAATGATATGTAAAGACAAACTAGCAACAAACATAGATACAAAAGAAAAAAAATAAAGAATAGAGAATAAAATTATATAAAACAGTGATCAAATTGATCTATTTTTAGTGACATCTTAATACAAAAGACTAACTCGATTTTTAACCCAGTTACATCTAGATTACACGATTGCTTAGAATCAAGTTGCAGTATTTTGTATCTAGATCAGTGTTTCTCAACCTTAGCCACTTTAAGATGTGTGGATCAACTCCCAGAATTCCCGAGCCAGCCATGCTGGCTGGGGAATTCTGGGAGTTGAAGTCCACTAAGGTTGAGAAACACTGATCTAGATCTTTCTATCAACACAAACAGTTCAAAAGCTGGGAGTTGACACATTTCATTAACTCTTGGAGCTAAAATTATTGATGGGAGCCATAGTAGTATGATCACTTTGTATTTAAGATATATCTGTAATTTAAGAGTGTTTGCAGAGGAGGTTCCATGATCTTGACATGTAATTCCATCACTGCTTGCTTCTATCCAAATGTTGCTTTCTCCCCCAACAAGGAAGCCACTACCTATGTAATTAAATCATTTTATCATGCTGCTATACTTAAGAGTAATAGGTTCAATAGGGCAGCTTCCAGTATCATCAAAAGGAGAAGCAGTGATTAGCTTATGTCTGATCAGATTGTTGATTCATCAAACTGAGCACTGTCTACACTAGAAGTAGTGCTCCAGATGTTGGATTGCAATTCACATCAATGTCAAGCTGGCTAGGCAGGCCGCAAGTTGACTGTGTTTAGCCTTCATTAAGCAGTAAGTGGCTGTCCAGAATTTCAAAAGATCTTCCCTGGTCCTACCTAGAAATTGGGCCTGGTGTCTACCACTGAGTAAGATCATTCCATATTGGGATGGAAATTCCTACTGGAGTATATATTTTTTAAAATGTCTGTCTGTTGCATTCATATAGGGAGAAAAATTGTGATTCCTGGCTTTGTGAGATAATGAGTTGGATCTTGCAGGAAAATTGGAGTTTTCTGATGATTTAATAGAAGAATTCTAGAGTTCTCAACTTTGCTCTGTGAAGCAATGTTGAACTGGAGCCTTCATAAACATGTCCATGGAGTTATCAAGCAACAGTGCAAAATATGGTTGGCCACAGCTGCCTTCTGGGAATTTTTTAATAACTTCTCCATTCAGCCCACAGCCCTGGGTTGGTGAGGTAATCTCCCATCCCAATGCATTCCAGCTCAGATCCTGCTTAGCTTCTCAGCCTGTATGGTGAGCTGACCAGCTGAGGTCTATGGCGGACAGCAGTGGGCCAGTACAGGGTTTGGAGGAACAGAAGGCAGAAAACTGATCAAGGGGAAGGAGCCAGGCACTTGGGGCATGCTGTGATAAAAAACATGCTCACCATTTCCATACTTGAAAAGACAAGCCAACAAAAATTGATATTGTGGGTTTTCATTGTATAAGTTACCATTGTTTCCTAGGGAGTGAGGTGTAGGGAGTATCCCCTTTGGGGGCTGATTCCAGAGATGTGAATTTGGTGAAGGGGTGTGTGTCTGCCGTCTCTCGGTATCGCCCAATTCTGTGCCTTTGCTACAGAGAGTGCAAACCTTGGTCTCTGCAAAATCATCATGTGTTGCTCGTTAACCCCCCCCCGCCCCGCCCCGTGAGTGAAGGGTAACAGCAGCAAGAGCTTCCATTTTTCAGCTTCTCTGCAGCAAACCAGATTCCACTGCAGTGAATGCAGCATTGCTCTCCTCCTTTCTCTCCCTCCCCCCCTTCCCCCCAAAGCACTGCAGGAGAGCAATGCAGGGAGCCGGTGATGCAGTACTAAATGGCAATTTGTCCAGGATCACCAAGCTTGGCCGGCCGCTTGGCTTTCCTTGTGCTT